TTATGTCCATGAAATGTTGAATTGTATATGGTCTATGTTAATTATATTTTTATGAATAGGTTTTGAAGATGGTCTATTCGACCGAAACGTCCGACGTTGACATTAAACATTAAAATAGCATAATCGCATATTAGGATTTTTGTTTGTTTTTTCAGTATATTTTTAAATATATATATATATATATATATATATATATATATATATATATATATATATATATATAGTTGGGGGGAAATAAATATTCGTACACATGAAAAATTGTATTTTTATAAATGTAAAAGCCTTAACTAAAACAAATTTTGATACATTTTATGTGTAAAGATACATTTTATTAAAACATAGTAATAAACTTAATTAATTCTTATTCTATCAGAAATAATTTTTTTTTTTTATTTTAACTGATGAAAAAAGTATTCGTACAAAACAGAAAAATCATATTAACTTAATTTATTACTTTGTGGAATATCCTTTATTGAGTTTAACAGCTACCAGTCTATTCCTGTACGTCTCAACTAATAATTTGCACACATTTAGTGGTATTTTGTCTTATTCTTCTCGGCATATTGTCTTCAAATTCTTGATATTTGTTGGTGTTCTTTTCCCAATTTGAATTTTCAAATATCGCCATAAATTCTCGATTGGGTTCAAATCTGGGGACTGATTTGGCCATTGCAAGACATCAACGTTACTTTCGGCTAACCATTTCCTTGTAGATCTAGCGGTATGCTTAGGATCATTATCCAGTTGGAAAACCCAATCAGGAGGTAGCCGAAGTCTCTCATCAGAACGCATTAAATTGTCTTGCAGGATTTTCTGGTAGCTTTCGGCATTCATCTTGCCATCTATTATTGATATTCTGCCAACACCTTTTGCAGAAAAACAGCCCCAGATCATGAAACTGCCACCACCAAACTTTACAGTTGGCAACGCGTTCTTTGATAAGTAGGCTTCACCGTCCTTCCTCCACACATGATTTCGATAATTATGACCAAACAACTCTATTTTAGTTTCATCTGTCCATAGTAGTTTTTCCCAAAACAAATATTCTTTATCCTTGTGCTCTCTAACGAATTTTAGCCTAGCATCTCCGTGCCGTTTCAAGAGGAGTGGAGTTTTCCTTGGGATGCGTGATTTCAGACTGTTTTTGTGTAGTTCATTACCTATTGTACGCTTGGTTACTTTAATCCCTAATGCAGGCAGATGTTCCTGCAGCTCTTCTCAGGTAACATGTGGATTTTGTTGGATCTGGCGTCCTAATATCCTTGCTGATCTTAGAGAAATCTTCCTGAAGCACCTGTTCGTCGTTGGTTTTCGACGCTGTTACGAGTTTTACACCTTGCAATGAACGAAGCAATTGTAGTAAAAGGAATATTCAGGTTGTTAGAAATCGTTCTGTAACTGTTCCCAACTTTCTAAAGAGACAAAATGTGTTGTCAATTCTTTACCTTTAGGCATTATTAGAACCTTCTCGTAAGACTGGAAATTGCAGAATGCTCTGATAATGGCTAATAGCGTTAATTATAATTACTGATAACATAACTGGAACATTCTAGAATATACTTTTTTCATAATTAATTGATTATTTTATTCACAATAATTGATTGGTACGAATACTTTTTTCACCAGTTAGAATTTTTTAAAAAATGCATTAATTTCTGTTAGAACAAGAATTAATTAAGTTTATTATTATTTTTTAATAGTATGTGTCTTTATACATAAAATGTGCCGAGATTTGTTTTATTTAAGGCTTTTACATTTATAAAAATACAATTTTTCAAGTGTACGAATATTTATTTCCCCCCACTGTATATATTGACCACTAATATTATATCTACATATATATATATATATATAATTTATTTTAGGATTTTAAAAGATGTTATAAAAAATCTCTACAAAATTACAATTATGTTTCAACACCGTAAATCTGTCTCCTCAGGTGATCTCAAACTACTCGCGAGTGAAAGATAGTACTTTGACATCGCCTGAAGAGACACATTTATGGTGTTGAAACATAACTGTAATTGTGTGGCGATTTTTATAACATCTTTTAATATATTAAAATTTAATATATTAATATTTAATATATTAATATTTAACCCTACTATCTACTGAGCCTTGATTTAAATTAAATTTTACATACATTGAAATCATGGTCCATTTATTCTCATTTTACCTGGAGATATATATATATATATATATATATATATATATATAGTTAAAGTCCAGACCAATTCTGTGAACAAGACAAATTGGTATAAGATGAAAATTGGAAAGAAAATCTTAGTTTTTTTTGTCGAAGCGGTTCGTCTTCCGACTTTTTCAAAGCGAAAATGAAATCGAAATGTTTTTTGTTATAGTTACATTATAAAATCCAAATTTAAAAAATTAAGAAGCTTCTGCGTATGTCTCTCTCTTGTTAATGTAAATTTTCTTTATACTAATAGTTTTTTTTTCTTTCCATGTCGACAATATAGTAAAATCCCCAAATCAATTCTGTGGACAAGACAAATTGATATAAGATGACAACTGGAAAGAAAAATTAACTATATTGTCGATATGGAAAGGAAAAAAAAACTATTAGTATAAAGGAAATTTACGTTAATCAGAAAGGTCCTTACACAGAAGCGTCTCTCTCTTTTTTAAATTTGGATTTTTTTTTTTAATGTAACAAAAACTTTCAAGTTCACGAATTAATTTCATGGTGGTTGTAGAAAAATGATTTTAAAAAATTCGAAAATTTTCTTTCAAATATTTTTTTTCCCAGTTACTTTCAATCTAATCTGTGACCATCTTCAGGGGTTGCATATCTATGGATGTAATATGCGTTAACCCCGTGAATTCCAACTTTTTACCTCTATGCAAGGGTGGTAACTTATTTGATTTTTTTTTAAATTAAAGATTTTTTAAATTAAAGATTCTTTTAATTTATAAGTATAGAGTTATTTTAGATTTTTTTTTTTTGTAGTTCTTATATTTCGTTTATGTTTTTGACTAAAATGAGAATAACAATAAGTAAATACTTAAAATTCTGGAAACCCTTTATATAAGAAAATTATAAAATAATTAAAGTCAACTTCTAGTTTAACAACAAAGTTCTTAAAAGTTTGAAGCAGCTAGGTAAAAAAAAAAATACTACAATTTAAAAAAAAAAGCCCTTGAAAAAGAACCACATTTCTGCTGCTCCAAATCTCTTCTTTATTTTTGAAGAGATTGTTCAGCATTCACTACCATTGACGAGGGGAGATATCACGTTCAGTACTCTTTTCTTTGTTTCTAGCGAAGTTTTTTTTTCTATTTCTTAATACACTGCTTGTCTTTTGCAAGGCACCTTTGGCTATCTCAATGCGCTTTACAATTTAATATCCCTGCTCGCAAAAAAAAAGAATCCCTACATTCTAAAAATATTTTCTGGCTTTAAATAACCAGAAAAATGTCGATAACGAATCATTCCATATATTTACCGATTAAGAAGTTTATTGTGTTTTTTGTTTGTTTTCCGTGTTTTTCTCATTGTTTCTGTATTTCGAAAGATATGTTTATATTCGAAAATAATATTTTAACTATATTGTGTGTGGAGAGGGGTTCTCGTTGCGTCCACCCGGGAGTCTATCAATGTCAAACAGTCAGGCGTATTTTCTCTATCAAAGAAATGTTGAGCACATAGCGAACACCCTTTGGATTTAGCCGAGAGTCTTAGATTTAGACTCCATTAAACTTTTGAAGTCCCGTTGAGGACGACGATATTTCAATTTTTAGCGCATATTTTTAAACCAAAACTATTTGAAAGACTAAATTCTGATATAGAATAAGAAAAACAGTTCCCATTGTTTCAAACAATACAAGATGGCCAAAAATATACCAGTAGAAATGGTGTGATAAAAATAAGAGAAATAAAGATAATAGTCTGTATAATGTACGGAATAAGAAAACTGTTGATATAAGAATTTCAGACAATGCAAGAAGGCCAAAAATATAGGAGTAGAAATGGTGTGATATAAATAACAAAAATAAAGATAATAGTCTGTATAATGTATGGAGTAAAGAAAACAATTGATATCAGGACTTCAAACAATACCAGAAGGCCAAAAATATACTAATAGAAATGATGTGATAAAAATAACAGAAATAAAGATAATAGTCTGTATAATGTACGGAGTAAAGAAAACAGTTGATATCAAAAATTCAGACAATGGAAGAAGGCCAAAAATATAGGAGTAGAAATGGTGTAATAAGAATAACACAAATAAAGATAATAGTCTGAATAAACTGTGAAACAATGTTAAAAGTTTATATCTAGGCTTCAGAACGCCAAAGGGCATATCACTTGCAATGTTGTGATATAAAATAAAGGATAAATAATGTCTGAATAATGCATAGAATAATAGTGTTAATTTGGGATTTGATTTAACGCAGTGTTCTTTGTTGGATTGTTACCAAACTCTTCAGTCCTTGGCAATCCCTTTTTTAAATCAACTGTTGGAGTCTGTAATTTCGGTTTGACGGAAATGACTGCTTTTAAATTTACGTATGCACTTGTTAATATTGCCTGTACAGAAAAAAAAAACGAAAAAAACTACGTTAGCTGCCACCTTTATGGTGTGATCAAATTGTATTAAACCCTCCCGACGTCCAAGAGAGACCATAACTGCTTGTCATTATTGCATACATTTTATCTATTACGTCACCTTATACGTCACATCCGGTTGAATCTATGGGAAGCTGAAAACAAGCAGTGTGTTGCTGTCTGTAATTATCTGCTACAGCAAGTGATGGACAGCGAAAATAGGTCCAATGTTTTGTTTAATTCATTTATTTACAGTAAGAGGAAAACTGATAGTACATTGTGAAAGATTTTAGCTCTAATATTTAATCTTAATTATAAAAAATACGAAAAATGTTTATGAGTAATTTTAAAATTTAATTATACTTTAATCGAATCTTTGCAGCAAGATTAAAAAAGTTCAATAGAAAATACGTACACCCCCCCGAGAGCCTTTTCAATAAATAGATATAGACGGATATTTTTTAAATATTAGACTGAGAGAAAGAACTAAACGAGATAGATAGATAGATAGATAGATAGATAGATAGATAGATAGATAGATAGATAGATAGAACAGACTGACATAGATAGATAGATAGATAGATAGATAGATAGATAGATAGATAGATAGATTTAAACGAGTAAGATCTAAACAAAATAAATAGAGGTAAACAATATAGATAGATAGATAGATAGATAGATAGATAGATAGATAGATAGATAGATTTAAGCGAGAGAGATTTAAACAAAATAAATGGTTGTAAACAAGATAGATAGATAGATAGATAGATAGATAGATAGATAGATAGATAGATTTAAACGAAATAGTTTTAAACGAGATAGATAGATAAACAGATAGATTTAAACGAAATAGTTTTAAACGAGATAGATAGATAGATAGATAGATAGATAGATAGATAGATAGATAGATAGATTTAAAATAATTAGATAGGTGTCCAGAAACATTTATTGTATTGTATGTAACAGCGATGTTTATTTTTTCTAACTTAATCCAATAAATTTACATCTTAGTGAAAATTATATTTAAAATAAACATACATTCTATGCTTTTATAAACAATATCACAACTGTCTGTTACAGTTGTTTTTGTTTTTTGCGGGGCGGGGGGTAGTGTGGGTGTAGTTTCTGGTGATATCCCTCTATATACATTGATACATAGATATGTATATAATATATATATATATATATATATATATATATATTTATCAATATAGTTATGAGTGTTCGATCATTTATCTACAATGCTTAAGAACAGACAAAAAACAAACTTTCAAATATTCATGACACAGAGGCTAATAATTTTCTAAGAACACGAATGTATTGATCGCTATTTTAGTATAAAATTAAAATGTGTGAATCTTTGAATGGGAAAAGCCTGTTTAACAGCAAAAATGACATCCAGCCCACTCCTCTCTCTCTCTCTCTCTCTCTCTCCTCTCTCTCTCTCTCTCTCTCTCTCTCTCTCTCTCTCTCTCTCTCTCTCTATATATATATATATATACAGGGTGAGGAAGCAAAATTTGCAACAACTTTCTTTTGTAAATTTTGCTTCCCCCCTGTATATATATATATATATATATATATATATATATATATATATATATATATTAACTGGGATCAAATTGACATCAAATATAGATTGTAATCCGAAAGAATGATATGATAAAGAAGAAATAGGAAACATTTATAATTCTGACATGTTTCGCATTTATTAAAGCTTCATCAAAGAATGAATTATGGAAATTTTTTTCTGTTTTTTTTTAATTTTGGGGTTTGTTTGATTTTCATTGGTTAATCAGGCTTTACGTTCATTTGACTATACAAGCATCGTTCGTGTATATAATATGTTTGTGTAAATGCATCATAAGTCTAGCTTTTGTCTCTGGGGAATTTAGATGATAATGTATTTTCGTAAGTGTGTGTGTGTGTGTGTGTGTGTGTGTGTGTGTGTGTGTGTGTGTGTGTGTGTGTGTGATGGTAGGCCTAAGAACCTAAAAAAAATTATAGGTAGTAACCACATTTCAGGGGATAAGCTAATCCGTATGAAAAAAAAAAAAAAAAACAGGATTTTCCCAACCATGTAACAACAAAAGGAGCTTATGCTGTAACCACATTAGACACACCAATTCGTTCACTAGCTCAGTCACTAAATCTACTTTCAAAATCTACCACAACTCTAAGTGCAGAAGTCATAACATAATTTACCTCCTAGAATGCACACTATGCCAGAAACAATATGTAGGAAAATCTGAATGGCCCTTTCACTACAGAATTAATAATTATCGCAATCGAATTAAGTCGACTCCCCATGAAAAATTATTACCTGTAGAATAACATTTCCGCCTACAAAAACACGATTTTAAAACACATGCCAAATTCACTATAATTGAAAGAATAGAAAAGTTCAGAGCAGATAACATTAGAAAGATTTTAAAAGCCATGAAGATAAGTGGATTCTGCGCCTAAAAACGCTCCAGCCGGAGGGGCTTAATCACAAATTTAACAACATAGATAGAATTAATATATAACCCCACAAATCAGGCCCTACCCACATTTCTCACCAACATAAGACAGACATGCTTGCAGAGGTGTCGAGGTCTCACACGTATACACGTATCCATACTAATATAGACACTTACATACATCATACTCACTCACTCCTTAAGAACCAAATAACGCCGACACTTAACAGGGACACACTCCCTTCCCAGGAACCAATGAAGCTATCAAAATGATCAATAGAATTCAGAGCAGCATGAATCCAGCCCTTATCTTAAATAACAACTTAAAAGAGACTGTTTGACTAACACAAGGACTAACCAAAATTCATGATAAAAAATAAAAAATAAATGAAAACTACACATAAAGTTTATTTTGTCCATCAAGTCATTCCTGTAGTTCACTGCTACTAACAAGCAGAATTTTTTTTCTGAAGATGGCCAATATTATAAATTTTAAATCAGCATTGATTTAAAATTTATAATATTTTTTTATTGTTCAAAGCATACATATATATATATATATATATATATATATATATATATATATATAAATCAATATTCATTTCGGTTATAATTTATTTCGTGAATATCTACATATTCATCTCTTCAGACAGAAATCCTTTTGTCCTTGAGTCCATCTTTTAGTCCATCTTTTAAGGATTATTATTATTATTACTTTACATTATTCGGACTATTGTCCTAATCTTTTTCGCCATATCTATCACAACGTTTCGGCCGTTGTACGCTCCGGTGGTTGGAATGTCGAACCGAACCCTTTATTTCGCTCACTGGGGTAGACTGTTCTAGTTGCACATGCCATGTCTAATGGATGTCAGTTATCAGTTATCTCCTGCTAATTTCCCTCTGAAAGTTCTCCACTGCCTTAACCGGGTATTGAACTCACACTCTTTGGGTCCTGTCACTGGATCTAACCAACGCCTTTATCCACTGTGCCATGTGTCCTTGAGGACATTCCAACCACCTGAAGAAGGCTGGAGCGTACAACGGCCGAAACGTTGTGATAGATATGGCGAAAAAGATGAGGACAATAGTCCGAATAATGTAAATAATGTACATAATATAGACAGACTCATTATTATTACTATTAAATTAAATGTTATTTTTAGTGGATACCCAATGTTTGAGTTGACGCTCCGTTTATTTATTTGCGTCTACCGGTCGGAATTTCGTGAAATATTAAAGGAAAACATTCTCTCTCTCTCTCTCTCTCTCTCTCTCTCTCTCATTCTCTCTCTCTTTCTCTCTCTCTCTCTCTCTCTTCTCTCTCTCTCTCTCATTCTCTCTCATTCTCTCTCTCTCTCTCATTCTCTCTCTCATTCTCTCTCTGTCTCTCTGTCTCTCTGTCTCTCTCTCTCTCTCTCTCTCAGGCAGGATTTGAACCAGTGTCCCCATTTGCAGTATAAACACTCGCTAGATACGAAGCGCTCTAGCCCGTCTCAGCAACGGATCTTTGCCGCCGGGCAGGGACAGTCGAATTGTAACTTATAAACTCAAATCTTTCCCAGGCTCTCGAGGCATTCATATCTGCTCAGTCTTAGCGGATATTTGAGCATCCACGCTTAAGTGATAAGATCTGTCGGATTAATAAATAATATATGCTGTGGTCAGGTGTTGAACTCATAACTGCTTGGGTTAATTCACTTTTTGGATTAATCAACCAACTCTGAGAGTTGTGAGTTCAATACCCAGCCTCAGCAGATGGAACAAAAACTTGGAGTGTTGAGTTATCGAAAGGAATTGACTGAAAATAAGACAGCCAAAAAAAAAGGCATGACACGCGGAATTTGAACAATCTACGCCCATGTTATAAATAAAGGTTTCGATTTGAAATTCAAAGAAATTTCACCTGAAGAAGACCGGAGTGTACAATGGCCGAAACATCGTGAATATGACAATAAAGATGAGGATGGCAGTCCGAATAATTGAAATAATGAAAAATTTTAAAGTACCTCATCTGGGAAATATTGGCAGATCCTGAAGAAAACCGGAGAGTACAAGGGCCGAAACGTCGTGAGTATGACAATAAAAATGAGGACGACAGTCCGAACAATGTAAATAATGTAAATAATTACAATAACTCATCTCAGAAATATAGACAAATCCTGAAGAAAACCGAAGCGTACAACGGCTGAAACATAGTCAATATGACAATAAAGATGAGGACGTCACTCCGAATAATGTCAATAGTGTAAGTAGTTACAATAGGTAATCTCATAAATGTAGACAGATGTTGAAGGATCGGTACAGACAGATATAACAAAAATATGGATCTACCCACGTGGACTAAATAAAGGTTTCAGTTCGAAATTCCAAGAAATGTCACCTGATGAAGGCCGAAGCGTATAACGTCGTGAATATGACAATAAACATGAGGACAATAATCCGAACAATTGAAAAGGTGTAAACTAATTCGGAAATTTAAAAAAATGGATTGACAAAAATTATTGGATATTATTTCAACAAAACATATTTGAATGAATTCTTGTTGTCGAAATACAGCTTATTTAAAATAGCTTTTTAATACACATGAATAATATGTTATTTAGATTGCTGAAAGGGTGTATCGCTTCTGACTTCGACAGAAATTTGCATTAGAACTTCGTCACAAGAACGTTCTTTCGAAATCAGAAGCTATACAAATAAAATAATTAGCATTATTTATTCCTTTTTTTTTATTTAGTTACCCTTTTAAATTTGTTTCGTGTATGGAATTTTTTTTTTAAATGAGCGTTTGTTTATCTTGCACACTCCCAACGTCTACGCATTTTTTCACCTTTTCAAAAGGAAAACGTGATCGTGCCGATTGTTTGAAATAATTTAATTCTTTTTGTTTATTTAACCACTCATGTTTTTAAATTCTGATTTCCAACTTCCCCTCCATATAAAGATTTCTTTTTCTTCCTAAGTCTCTCTTTATCTTCTTTAACTATATACCATTGTACGGATGGAAATTTCTTTCATTTTTCTTCCCACATATATATCTTGATAACACAGTGTTATTTTTAAATCTTTTGTATGTTAATAAATATGTTTATCTTTCTTTAGATTCTTCCCCAGTTGATGTAAATATTCTCCTTCACCTGGGCTCTCCTTTGAGTTTCGCCTTGTATAATATGTTTTTCTCTCTGCACTTTCCCTATAGTGGATATTTGGTTTTCTTTTTGCCGTTATATTTTTGTTGGTGTTTTTCTATTGTATTTTCAACTTAGATTTTTGTTGTTTTATCTAACGCCATTAGAAGTCAGGCTGTAACTTACGAAATAACTTGCCGACATTGTGTGTAATTTTCTATCATTGTTTACTGTTTTCAAGGAAGAAAGTCGAATGAGAGACATGATGGCTGCCAGCTCGTTGTCGAGTATGAACATCACGAAATATCACTGTAAGATTTAGTAGAGCTTTGAACAAATATAGATATTTAAGCTAAATATATGGAAACACACACACACTCATATATATATATATATATATATATATATATATATATATATATATATATACCCCCTTTCGTATGGATATATATATATATATATATATATATATATATATATATATATATATATATATACACACACACACACACATGCTCCCTTTCTTTGGTTGAGTTATTTAAAAGAAAGGGAATTTTTTGCTACTGTTGATTAAAGCTAAAAGCTCTTCGCTCTCAATTAAAAAATCTGCTGCACAAGCCATGGTCACTGATGTAACCTGTGTGGTCGGGTGAGACGTCCACACTCTACACACTTTCCTTCCGAGCCCTGTTATCAACAACGGATGTAATTGAAAACGTCATATATAGATTTTATTTTTTGGAAAGAGGAAAAGGTCGCAAAGAGAAAGATCTAGGGAATATGGCGGTTGTCAGAGGTAGTGAATACCGTACTTGACCTAAAACTGTTTCACAAGCCATAGTGGCTGATTAAAGCTATGTGGTCGGGTGAGACGACCACACTCTACACACTTTTTTTCCGAGCCCTGTAATCAACAACGGATGTAATTGAAAACGTCATATATAGATTTTATTTTTCGGAAAGAGGAAAAGGTCGCAAACAGAAAGATCTAGGGAATATGGCGGTTGTCAGAGCTAAGGAATACTGGACTTGACCTTAAACTGTTTCACAAGCGATAGTGACTGATTAAAACTAATGTGGTCGGGTGAGGTGACCACACTCTACACACTTTCCTTCTAAACTCAGATAAAAACAACGGAAGTGAGCGAGAAGCGTTATAACTTAATGCGCATGAGCGACAGAATTCAAGGTCTATCTGTACGTTATCACCGTTACCATAGCAACAGCGCCGATACATTTTCATCAGACCTCGTGTATGTACTTTCGCGTTCTGTTGCGGGATGCTACCCAATGATTAATTCAAATAGCGAGTGTGTAACGAACGTACTACTCACATTTGCCACTACCTTTTGTGAGCAGTAACCTTTGTTATACATTAAATGTTAATTTAAGTAATATTTTCACTTTCAAATCCCTCGAATCCTTCGGTAGAAACTTGCAGATGCACGCACAAATACACGCACACACGCCCGCGCTGATGCAGACACACACATACGCACACAGGGATACAAACGCCCAGGCACACGTGCACACACACAGACACACTCGCACACACGGGCACAGGCGCAGAGAGAGACAAACACTCGCACACACGCACACACGCAGCACACACACAGACACATGCGCGCTAATATGCACACACATACACACACGCACGCACATGCTCGCACAAATACTCACATGCGTTCGCACACTCACACGCACACACACACACACATATATATGGTGGTGGACTCTCCCGTCGTATTCGACGTATGAGGATCAAGCAGTTCAGTTCCTAGGAATCAACAGCCAGACAACGGCACATATGATTTGATTATAATGGTGAAGACTTTATGCAGAACCAACCACACTTTTTGAAGGGCTGAATACAGAGACCTCGTGCACTGCTGAAACACCGGTTCTCGTTCGATCACCGAAGTTAAGCATCGTAGAGCCAGGTCAGTACTTAGATGGGGGACCGCTTGGGAACACCTGGTACTGTAAGCCCCCCAAAGTCCAACCCTTACCTCACAGTCGGTGTCAGAGCTATGCCGCCCGGAACTTCGTTCTTGGTAGGTCCACCCAAGGCGGACAGGTCTGACACACACGCCGGCTAACAAGGGCTCTGGTGAAAATCCAAGGAGCGTCTGCATCGGTAAACGGCGGCTTCTGGTCGTTCCTGTCTCTGCGTCTGTGGGAACCCCGCGGCAAGCAAGAACGTTATCCGAGTAGGCCTGGGTACCCTACTTCTGTAATTTATCCCAAGAATCTTCTTCTCATAACAGGAAGAAGCCGGCTCAATCCGCCCAGGGTGAATGCCGCATCAGTACAGTAGTACAGTAGTACTTGGTGCACTACGTGTCACAAGGTCCCCAAACGACCCTCCGCAGGTTTTGAATTCAGAATGGTCCTTCTCCTAGACTCACGCACGCATATACATATATATTTAGGAGAGTCACTGTCTGGTAATTTCATCTGTCACTAGAGTCGTTATCAAGAATTGCGAATTATTAATTTCTTTATCAAAATGCGTTTCGGCGTTTTTTTTTTAAATTTACTGGAATTAAATTTAAGCCGCTTAAAAGTGGCGTCATAGGAAATGTTCAAACATATATGCATGTTTTTTTTTGTTTTTTTGTTTTTTCATTTACTCATTCATTTATTCAGTTGCAGTGGATACCGAACTCTTTTTTTTTCTCTGCGCCGTACTTTCGGAATGATATTTTGCTCGATCTTCACCAAATTGAATGTGATAAAATTTCATTTAAAAATAAAAAACACAGAGAGTGGGTTAACGGGAGATAACCACTGATTCGAAGTCAGAACATTATGATTGATAACTCTCTCCTCCAATTTGCAGACCCTAATTACTATATTCTTAATACTTGATATAATGCAAAAAACATCCCAATAATAAAACCAGTCACTAATTATTTATACTCGCACTTATGCATGCAATTATCATTGATAACTCTCTCCTCCAATTTGCGGACCCTAGTTACTATCTTCTTAATACTTGATATAATGCAAAAAATATGACAATGACAAAATCGGTCAATAATCATTTATAACTATTTATACTGGGACTCATGCATACAATTACAAGAAATCCATAATAATATTTAAAATTTTGAAATCATATTTTATTTTTGGCATATGAATTTTTTTAAACTGTTTCTAAATTTTTGATTGTCTTTAAATCATTCCGCCTCACCTGTTATCCTCTTCCACCGCACCTATGAGGCGTGGCTCACCGACTGGGAACCACTGCGTTAGCGCATATTGCGCAGCTCTAGTCTCCACTCTCCTCCATCTCACAATTGCAGTTCATGGTGATTTTCAAGGCATGATGATATTTAGGGCATGGTGATATTCAGAGCATGGTGATATTCGCCTTTCGCACGAGAGATGTTGAGATTACTCCGTCCAACTCTCAAAAGTCAAAAAGGCAAGATCTCCAGATTTTAACTTGCCCAAATTACATGGCCCCGTTCTCGCCCGTTCCGACAAAATCCAAAGAAACACATTAGGGACGGCTTAGCTGCAGGAGTTGCCGGAAAGTTATCAGTGTTGACACCTAACCGCCTTCGAGGTTTCACTCAGCGGTTTTCTGTCTGGATTTATTTCCAAATTTTTCCCTGTCTTGGATATGACTGCAAATAGCGGAGATTTAAAATGAGGGTTTTCCTTCCCCTAGATGGACTACTTTCTTGAGTTTTTGAGCTGTCTACCCAAAGCAGTTGACTATGATCCGCCAGTTTTCTGTCTTCGCTACGGTTTGGAGCTGGACTTTGTTGTCAGAGGCTTGTTGCGTCTATGTCCTTGGGCAGAGTGCACCCAGGGACGGATCTCTCAAAGGACAGAGTCGCAACTGAGAAAAACTATACTGAGAGGTGCCCAGCCCTGGGGGAACAGCTGTCCGAGGCCGCGCCCTCACTTTGCACCCGAGTGGGGAATCGGTGCTCGCGCCGAGGCCAGCGCAACCGATGGTTGCGGGGACTGCGGGTAATTTTTGTTCCTTGCCCGGGTGTACAGAGCGCTCAGAGGCTATTTTTCACAGAAGTATTTTAAAAAAGCTCGGTGTGCCACCATTTAAAAAAAAAGACCTTGTGTCACAACTCGTCTTAAACAAGTGGGTAGACAGAGTAAATACATAGCTGTCAGAGGCTATTTGAAATGTATTCCACAGAAGCATTTTATAGTCAGTGAGAAGTGGGTAGACAGAGTAAATACATAGCTGTCAGAGGCTATTTGAAATGTATTCCACAGAAGTCATTTTATAGTCAGTGAGAAGTGTATTCCACAGAAGACAACAAAGTAAATACATAGCTGTCAGATGCTATTTGAAATGTATTCCACAGAAGCATTTTATAGTCAGTGAGAAGTGGGTAGACAGAGTAAATACATAGCTGGCAGAAGCATTTTATAGTTTGAGAAAACAGAGTATTCCACAGAAGCATTTAGAAATGTAAATTCTGTCAGACAGAAAGCATTTTATAGTCAGTGAGAAGTGGGTAGACAAAGTAAATACATAGCTGTCAGATGCTATTTGAAATGTATTCCAGAACATTTTAAGCATTTTATAGTCAGTGAGAAGTGGGTAGACAGAGTAAATACATAGCTGTCAGAGGCTATTTGAAATGTATTCCACAGAAGCATTTTATAGTCAGTGAGAAGTCAGAGGGGTTCCACAGAGACAGAAGTAAATACATAGCTGTCAGAGGCTATTTGAAATGTATTCCACAGAAGCATTTTATAGTCAGTGAGAAGTGGGTAGACAAAGTAAATACATAGCTGTCAGAGGCTATTTGAAATGTATTCCACAGAAGCATTTTATAGTCAGTGAGAAGTGGGTAGACAGAGTAAATAACAGAGGCTATTTGAAAAATAGAACATTTTATAGTCTGTCAGAGGCTATTTGAAATGTATTCCACAGAAGCATTTTATAGTCAGTGAGAAGTGGGTAGACAGAGTAAATACATAGCTGTCAGAGGCTATTTGAAATGTATTCCACAGAAGCATTTTATAGTCAGTGAGAAGTGGGTCAGAGGCTATTTGAAAGACAAAGTAAATACATAGCTGTCAGATGCTATTTGAAATGTATTCCACAGAACATAGTGAGAAGTGTCAGAGGCTCAGAGGCTATTTGAAATGTATTCCACAGAAGCATTTTATAGTCAGTGAGAAGTGGGTTTAAATACATAGCTGTCAGAGGCTATTTGAAATGTATTCCACAGAAGCATTTTATTCCAGAAGCATTTTATAGTCAGTGAGAAGTGGGTGGGCTATTTAGACAGTGAGAAGTGGGTAGAAAGTAAATACATAGCTGTCAGAGGCTATTTGAAATGTATTCCACAGAAGCATTTTATAGTCAGTGAGAAGTGGGTAGACAGAGTAAATACATAGCTGTCAGAGGCTATTTGAAATGTATTCCACAGAAGCATTTTATAGTCAGTGAGAAGTGGGTAGACAGATGCTATTTGAAAATTACATAGTGAGAAGTGGGTAGACAGAGTAAATACATGTCAGAAAGAGACAAAGTAAATACTCAGAGGCTATTTGAAATGTATTCCACAGAAGCATTTTATAGTCAGTGAGAAGTGGGTAGACAAAGTAAATACATAGCTGTCAGATGCTATTTGAAATGTATTCCACAGAAGCATTTTATAGTCAGTGAGAAGTGGGTAGACAGAGTAAATACATAGCTGTCAGAGGCTATTTGAAATGTATTCCACAGAAGCATTTTATAGTCAGTGAGAAGTGGGTAGACAAAGTAAATACATAGCTGTCAGATGCTATTTGAAATGTATTCCACAGAAGCATTTTATAGTCAGTGAGAATAAATACATAGCTTTATGAAAGTATTCCACAGAAGCATTTTTATAGTCAGTGAGAAGTGGGTAGACAGAGTAAATACATAGCTTCAGAGGCTATTTGAAATGTATTCCACAGAAGCATTTTATAGTCAGTGAGAAGTGGGTAGACAAAGTAAATACATAGCTGTCAGATGCTATTTGAAATGTATTCCACAGAAGCATTTTATAGTCAGTGAGAGTAAATACTGTCAGAGGCTATTTGAAATGTATTCCACAGAACAAAGTAAATGCTATTTGGGTAGAACAGAGTAAATACATAGCTGTCAGAGGCTATTTGAAATGTATTCCACAGAAGCATTTTATAGTCAGTGAGAAGTGGGTAGACAAAGTAAATACATAGCTGTCAGAGGCTATTTGAAATGTATTCCACAGAAGCATTTTATAGTCAGTGAGAAGTGGGTAGACAGAGTAAATACATAGCTGTCAGAGGCTATTTAAAATGTATTCCACAGAAGCATTTATAGTCAGTGAGAAGTTTTTATAGCTGTCAGAGGCTAGAAATGTATTCCACAGAAGCATTTTATAGTCAGTGAGAAGTGGGTAGACAAAGTAAATACATAGCTGTCAGATGCTATTTGAAATGTATTCCACAGAAGCATTTTATAGTCAGTGAGAAGTGGGTAGACAGAGTAAATAATAGCTGTCAGAGGCTATTTGAAATGTATTCCACAGAAGCATTTTATAGTCAGTGAGAAGTGGGTAGACAAAGTAAATACATAGCATTTTATTTGAAATGTATTCCACAGAAGCATTTTAGAAGTCAGTGAGAAATGTCCACAGGGTAGACAAAGTAAATACATAGCTGTCAGATGCTATTTGAAATGTATTCCACAGAAGCATTTTATAGTCAGTGAGAAGTGGGTAGACAGAGTAAATACATAGCTCTCAGAGGCTATTTGAAAATTCCACAGAAGCATTTTATAGTCAGTGAGAAGTGGGTAGACAAAGTAAATACATAGCTTTATTTGAAATGTATTCATTTATAGTCAGTGAGAAGTGGGTAGACAGAGTAAATACATAGCTGTCAGAGGCTATTTGAAATGTATTCCACAGAAGCATTTTATAGTCAGTGAGAAGTGGGCAGACAGAGTAAATACATAGCTGTCAGAGCTATTTGAAAATTCCACAG